GAGAGATTTTCTCCATGAGATTGCCCTTTTCGTGGTCTCTGTAGTCTTGGAGGCGGTAACGCAGTTTGCGTTGAAGGCGGTGGGCCGCGAGTCTATATTCAGGAGTGGGGTAGCGTGCAGCTCTACGGAGGGCGGCTTTTTTGGCTTTTAACAGGTTGCTAATATCTAGGGGAAGACTAGTTTTTGCAACCGGGACAACTTTTTCATTCTCTTTAAGAGAGGATGTTATGAGTGAGGTGAGATTTTCGACCGCGGTGTCTATTTTCCCCGCACTGTCGAGGGCATCGGAAGAAAGGGTTATGGGAGGGTCCGGAGAGTCTATAGCCGAGGCTAGAGACTTTTTGAAGCCCTTCCAGTTGGTGTAGGTTTTGGAAGTGGGAGTTGGAGATGGCTGATGGCCAAGAAGGAGGGATACAGGACGGTGGTCGGATCCTAGATCGTCGAGAGGCTCGATTGCTCTAAGGTTAAGGGAAATTCCTTTAACTAGAGCAAAATCTAGCACATCAGGAGCGTAGGTAACAATGTCGGGATAGTGGGTGGCAGTGAGGGGGCTGTAGACAGTTAGGTCGAGAGACTGAGTGATATTGAGCAGCACCCTGCCACTACTGGTAGTAGTTCGGCAGGCCCATTCAGTATGCTTGGAGTTAAAGTCTCCAAACATAATGACTGAGTCGCCTAATGCAAGGATAGCTTCGAAATCACTCTTGACGGGGAGGGTTCCGCTAGGGATATAGCAGGAGGCTAAAACGATTGACTGGTGTCCAGTCATGGCTAGTCTAGTGATAGTGGCTTCCATACTGATAAGCGACGGAGTAGATATGTGGGAGCAATGAAGGGACTTTTTGTGATAGATGGCAGTACCGCCGCCTTTGCGGTCGGGTCTATCGTTACGTATAAGTGAATAATTTTTAATAGTAAGGCCTTTAGAGACCTTGGGGCTGAGATGGGTCTCCTGTAGGAGTAAGAGATCGGCTTCGCGATCTCGTAGAAAAAGCCTAAGCTCTGGGAGGTTATTTCGCAGACCGCGGATATTGAATGAAACAAGCGACAAACCCTTTGGTTTAATACGACCGTGAGATATTGCGGGAGCAGAGGGCTCCGGCATAATTAAATTACAAGGACCTTAGAAGGTTGATGTGCTCGGTAAGAGCAAGGAGGCGGCCCTGAGGGGACTGAGCTGTGCTCAGTTTATCCGCAAGGATGAGGATTTCGTCCAAATTGATTCTATTGAGTGTGTTATACACTAGGTTTAGAGACTCTACAACAGAGTCTGTCTGTTTTTTTGGGTCGGCGGAGGGCCGCGGGATATTTGATTCCTTTTGGAACCAGGGGTATATTGGGAGCGGCGCTGGCTGAGAGAGCGGGAGGCTCATAAGGGGCCGAGGAGGGCCCTGAGGTGGCCGATAGGGCCCCTGTGGGGGCCGATAGATGCCCTGTGTGGGCTGAGATGAGCCCTGAGGGGGCTGAGGTAAGGTCTGGCCCTGGCTGGGCTTGCGGCTTACAAGAGCCGGGAAGGTTCGGTCATTGACCTGTGGTGGAGCTTTGCGGCTCGGAGGTGGGCGAGGGGCGCGAGGGCAACCTCTAAAATTGGCCGGATGGCCTGTTTGTCCGCAGAGGACACATGAGGGTGGGGATTCGGCGTTTTTGGGCCGTGGGCACTCTTTCGAGTGATGGGGTTCTAGGCACTTAATGCACCTGGGTGGAGCTGAGCAGTTGGCTGCCGCGTGTCCATAAAGTTGACAGCGGTGGCACTGCGCTGGGTAACCGCGCCGGTGAGGGGCTTCGACCTTAACACGCGACAGGCCGCACACAGTGCGTACCTCGCGGAAAATGGCCTTCGCCTCCGGCACATTGGTGAGAACGAGGAGGGCGAGGTTAAACCTTTCGCCCCTGCTGCTGTGCATTTTATGCACACCTTCAATGGGGAAGCCTTGGGATTTGAGGTCTTCCAGAATGTCTTCGTTTGCGAGTTCATAGGGAACTCCGCGGAGGACTGCCTTGACTTTCCTTTCTTCGGCAAGGGCGTATGTGTGGTAGGACACACGCTCGGCCGTGAATAGGCGGGTTATGTTTCGGAAGTCTTCTATAGACGCCGGTATAATTTTGATGGCCTCGCCGACATTAGTGGCTTGGTCGTATTTGAAACCCTTATCGTAGAGGGTTTTGGACAATTGAGTAAATTTCGCCTTGTCTCTGAGAAAGACAGGGGGCGGGACTTGGTTTTTGGCCAGTTCGGGAGCGCAGCGGGTTGCTGACTTGGCGGTATTGTCTTTCGACTGTGAGGCGGCAGCATTTGGGGCTGCGGAAGTAGGGGCAACGATGGGAGCTGCGGAGGTAGAGGCAGCGGCGGAGGGAGTGCGGGCGGCGGCGGCCGCTGAGGCGGGGGGAGTGCGAGAAGTGGCAGCGCGTTTCGGGCCGCGCTTGAATTTCACTAACGTGAATTCGGCTTGGGAGTCGGTTATGGTTCCTTCGGAGTCGGAAGAATCCGAGGAGCCGGTGGAGGAAGGAAGAATCCGAGGGCGGTCCTCTTCCGGGAGGATGAGGTAACGGACGTGGCGTCCGAGTGCTCCATATCGGAGTCGGGGGACGCGGGTGAGTCGGACTGCGGGGCAGCCGCTTGGGTCGCGAGGAAAGCAGCGACGGCGGGCGGGGGGTACACATGCCTTAGGGGCAGCGGGGGGAAAATGGCTTTGGCGAGAAGGGTCTCGTTAATTTGGGCGGTTGTAGGTATTCCTGCGGCTTGGATCATTTGTACGATCGTGGCCGCAACCTGGCTTATGAGTGAGCTTATGTCTATGGAAGACATGTTGACGGGGGGGGGGTGACGTTTAGTTCTAAGAAAACTGGAGGTCCCTGTTCTGAGAAGAACAGGGCCTTAGGGGCAGATGGGGAGGTCTGACGATCTATTCCCAGAAGCTGGGGTCCCAATGTTCTGAAAAGAACAAGGGCTCACTCTGAGAAGAGCAAGAGAAGATCTACTCTAAGAACAGCGTATACACAGTAACATTATTAAGCGAAGTAGCAGGAGAAATAACAGAGTATTTGTCAGTAGACACAGTTATGGACATAGAACAGAGCACTTCATATCCCGCCGAGTTTCTAAATTCTCTAGAGTTGTCAGGTGTGCCCTCATATAAGCTTCAATTAAAATTAGGCGTCCAATTCAATTTCAATTTTCAATTCAATTCAATTCTTCAATTAAAATTTATATAATGCTCCTCGGTTATGTAACGGGACAAGGCTTCGTGTGACACATCTTGGACGGAACATAATCGGTGCTACAATTTTGACAGGCGTAGGAAAAGGAAATGTTGAAAGAAGAAAATGTTATTATACCACGGATCCCTATAATTCCCACAGATCTTCCTTTTCAATTCAAAAGGTTGCAGTTCCCTATTAAACTCAGTTTTGCAATGAAAATTAATAAAGCGCAAGGGCAAACGTTACAGGTAGCGGGGGTCAACTTAAAAAAACCGTGCTTCTTTCATGGTCAGCTGTATGTAGCATGTTCGTGTGTGTCAAATGCTCAGAATCTCCACATTCTTTCCCCAAATGGAAAAACATATAACATTGTGTACAGTATCGTCTTAAAATAGTGTTCAGTTAGTTTTTTTTTCCAAAATTCTCACAATCAATTAATCAGAATTCCCACAGATATTCCCTTTCAATTCAAAATTGCCTATTTAGCTCATTCTTTTCAATTCCGAATGCTGCACCTCTGACGGACCTATTAAGCTCAGTTTCCTTTCAACTTAAAAGGCTGCATCTCTGACGGATCTTTTATTCGGCTTAGTTTCCTTTCAATTCAGAAAACTGCATCTCTGACGAATCAATTTAGCTCAGTTTCTTTTCAAAGGTCTGCATCCCTAACGGATAATTATGCTCAGTTTCCTTTAATAAAAAATATCCCATTTCCATTTGGAATAAACAGGCTATTTTCATGCTTTCCTATACGCTGCGTTTCAAAACATTTAAACAGGCTGACGAATCAATTTTGCTCAGTTTCCTTTTAATGGCTGCATCTCTGACAAATCTATAAAACTCAGTTTTCTTTCAATTCAAAAAGCAATGGATAGTTCATTTCCCAGTGACCATGCAGGCGAATATAATATAATTAATTTTTTTCGGCTGAAAAATTCCAAAATTTTCGGCGTCGACCTTGTAAGAATATATTTTACTAACTACTGTAGAGCGTTGAATATTCGAACGTCGATAAACTGAACAATCGCTTCACCGAACTTATATTAACAATGCTATAAACATTACTAATATTCCCCTTAACCACTCGTAGTTTCGGGTGGTTCACGCCAGTAATCGAATGGCGGATTCGAACCCACGACCTTATCGAGTTCGCGGTCCGCGCCCTGCCATTAGCCCACTGTCGCTTCATAACTGTTACTATACCACGCTGAGATGCGACACCCCACAGACTGGGGGGTAATCTGTGCGACAACCGCTGCAGTCCGCCAGTCAGAAACCGCGTTGTTCCAAACACGTAATGTCTATTGTTTACACGTCACAACAAGCGCCTGGATGAACAGTTCCATTTTTACGAAATGGTTTATAGAAGTTTTTGTACTCACTGTAAAGGCCTATCAGCTAAAGAACGGCAAAAGAGAGAAAAATTTATTACCTACTCCTTGATAATGCACCATGTGACATCTAAAGCGAAGTGGACGAACTTATAAAAGTGATCTTCCACCTAACGTCACCTCCTTGTTACATCCCATAAAACAAGGTTTTATTGAGACTTTCAAGCGATACTACAGAAAAAAAATTGCTACGTAAGTTGTTGCTAGAAAGAAAAAAGGAGGGAGAAAGTCTAATTAGAAATTATAAAAAGATTGATTTTAAAGATGCATCCTAAGTGATCGGAGCAGCTTGGAAGAGTTTAAAAGAACAGACTTTAAAAAAGCCTAGAATAAAATTTTGAGTATAGCAGAAAGTTCTCAAAGCGAAAGTGGAAATGAAGAACGAAGGATATGTCTGAAATTCTAAATATGCTGCAAGAACTCAATTGCCATGAATGTGATAAAGAAGACTTTCAAGTATGGATAACTGCCGACGTGGCAGATCCAGGGCACCAAATTTTGCAGGATAGCGAAATTGTCGATGTCGTGAGTGACAAAACTGATGCCGCCAGCACCTCATCAATCAGTGGTTCAGAAAATGAACTCGAAAATATTCCGACTTCTCAAGTTTTGAACGGTTTGAAGCTCAAGATGAAAGCGATCAGTGTCAGATATCTGTCTGGAAAAAAGTGCGTGACTTAGCTGTGCGTAAGAGGGAAGGCTCGCTCTATCCAGTAAAATGATCTTTTAATAGATTTGTTATTTCATTGATGTTTGAAGAAAAATTGAGACTCCTTTTTCTATTCTTCCGTTCTGTTCCTTCGGTTTCTGTGTGAAACATCGGAAATATGGAATCAGTTAATATGTGCGATAAAATTCGTAAAAACTAGTTTTATTAAAATGTGTAGAGCTCGCGTAAACACAAGAAATCAAATGTGTCTTCTACACTACCGAAAATAATTCAATTTGCGTCAAAATATCCCATAAAATAGGATTCATCGTCCACAAAAAATGGCGAAAACATTCAAATGAGACAAACTCGTGAACACTGAACACTCCGATAGGAGTAATAGTGTTCTGTGACACTGAATGTTATAAAAATAAATTTTAACCCCCCGGCCTCACACTCGTCGAGTGGCATAGGAAGTAGCGAGGAAAGGAATCAGATGTAGTGTCGCCACAATACTCGTCATGCCACACGTAATGCTGCACGTCATGCCAATCGATCCCTGTTTTGTCGGTTTTTGGGCGCCATTTAAAGGACTGGCAATATGAGCGCAACACCCGCGCAAACGCAGTCCGAATCGAGCGCTCGTTACGGAAGCACGTCACTTAAAAGTCATAAATATAGGGCCTGTCATCATCATTCAGCATATACATATATATAGAAAAAGCTGTCTCGGCGACGATAACGTATTGATATTAACGTTTAAATTAAATAACTTTAAAGATATTGATATAACTAGCTATAATAAATATACACAGCTCGCACGCTGCAACGGTTTCAACATCTGTGTTGGAAACGTGAGCTACCAAGTGCGGAGCATCGCAGTTAATTGTGCGTGTAGAGCAGTCTGTGGACAGACAGGGCAACATCGCGTGAAGCAGAGCGATGAGCAGCGCGAGGAACATAGTGTGGCCGAGCAATTACGACCATTGGCCACTTTAACGTCTTTTTGGACGAAGTGATTATAGTAGGTATTTCATATAAGGTTTTCGGTTTTGCCGCAAACATACTTTATCTAAAATTATTGTTTTAATATTTTGGTATGCCAGTCATCGTGTCATGTTTTCTTTACTAGTGAGACGTACTAAGTGGGGCATTGGTAACCCTGATTTGGTTGAAAATAATCCTACACATGCATCTTAATTTCTCTTTTCACTGTTCTGTATCGGACAACCAGGCCGTCCGTTGCCTTTCATCCTTTTGCTGTCGATATTCGGTACATCCGAAAAATTACTAGCTTAACGTTTATAAAGTTATTTAATGATAGTCGCTGAAACGCTTAATGATTTCCAGCTTATACAAGATTTGTACTAAAGCATTAACAAAATCGATCCAGTACATATATATACGATAACAGTCCCCTGCTGGGCATGGGCCTCACTCATAGCTCTTCCCTAATGTCGTGGATTTTGCATTGATGCACGTTTAGCAGGCGGATTGGCAATCACAGTTTTTTATTATTTTGAGTTGTCATCAGGAAGGTGCTGGCCACTCATGATTCGTTTTCCTCTCAGAATACTCGGAACTTATCCTTAAAAATTGATTTCAGTAGAGGTAAAATAAAAATACACAGATAGGCGAAAATGGTTTATTTTGCGAGGCGCGTACGTCGGCGGTGGTAACGGTGGTGGTGAAGGTGGTGGTGACGGCGGCAACTAGGCGTACAGGCGCAGCGAGTGGTCGGCGGCGGCTGCCAGCAGCCAGGGCTGCGCGGGGTGGAAGCGCACGTCCAGCACGCACAGCTCGCCGCGCGGCTCCGGAGCTCGGAGCTGCTTCAGCGGCACCAGCAGCGGGTTCTGCAGCAGGTCGCTGCACACGCACGCGTACACCACATCGTACAACTACTATTAGTTTATTCAATATACATTATAAATGCGAACGGACGGCTCCGTGACGCAGTCATTTAGCATCGAGTGGCAGCGCCTAGGGACACGGGTTTGAATCTCGCACGGAACACGTATTTGTATGGCCTACAAATACAGTGGGGCACCGGTAACCAGGTGTCTAGATAGATAATCCCCCTCCCCCGTAAACCAACATGACTCTAACATGTAGGTACAATCGAGTCACGTTATGCAAATAGGTCCTTAAATATGAAATTAGCGTTTTGTCGTACTGACCACTTTGATTTGAAATATCTCCTTTTTGGTTCAGAATTCCAAATTCAAATTTATAAATTCATTTAGCTGGTACATTTGAGTTTTGAAAACAGTCATTCATTTGTTTTTTCCTCATTATTTTTTTCTTTGGCGTCGCTTATTACCGCACAATGGAAAACATGAAATATCGGTATATTTACGAGTACGAGTTCTACCGGGGCACCAGCGCTGCAGAAAGAGCTCGAAGGGTTAATGATGTGTACGGCGATGGTGTCGCAAAAGAAAGCTCGTAAGTTTTTAGTTTCAACGTTTTCGTTCTGGAAATTTTGACTTCAGAACCAAACCCGTGGACGGCCGGAGACCAAAGTGGAAAATAAAGAATTAGAGGCTATTGTGGAAGCGGATCCATCACAAAGCACTTCAGAAGTAGCTGCAGGCTTCGGGGTTAGTGATAAAACTGTATTAATCCACTTGAAACAAATCGGGAAAGTAAAAAAACTTGAACGATGGGTACCTCATTAATTGAGTGAATCGAACTCGCAAACACGCGTCGACTGCTGTGTTACTTTGCTCAACCGACACAAAATTAAGGGATTTTAAATCGAATCATTACTTATGATGAAAAGTGGATACTGTACGATAATCGGAAGCGTTCGTCGCAATGGTTGAACCTAGAGACCCAGCCAAATGCTGCCATAAACTAAAATTGACTCAGAAAAAGTTACTTGTGAGTGTTTGGTGGACTAGCGCCGGTGTCGTTCACTACAGCTTTCTAAAATCTGGCCAAACGATTACGGCAGATATCTATTGTCAGCAACTGCAAAACATAAAGGAAGAACTAGCTGCTAAACAACCGAGATTGGTCAATCGCTCTAGGCCACTGCTGCTTCACGACAACGCAAGACCACACACTGCACAACAAACAACCACTAAGTTTAATGAGCTACAATTGGAATGTCTGCGACATCCACCGTACTCCCCGGATCTTGCTCCAACAGGTTACCATTTTTCCGAAATTTGGACAACTTCTTACAAGGAAAAAAAATTCAACTCCCATGCGGCAGTCCAAACCGCCTTCAAAGAGTTTATTGATTCTCTCCCCATGTTTCTTTTTAGTAAAGGGATCAATGAACTACCTATGATGGCAAAAGTGCATAGATAACAACGGTGCATACTTTGATTAATTAAATACATTTTACAAAACTAAAATTGACTTTATGTTCCTGCCGTACAAAACAACAATTTCATATGTAAGGACCTAATATTTAGACAAACAGGTTGCAAATAGTTCACGCCGCCACGAACCTACATTGACGCATATTTTCTGTTTAAATGTGATTATGGTAGCGGCCTACCGAGCATCAATTATTACTATAATGACGGTTTACTACACTACCAAAACAATTAGGTGCATGACAGGAATGCGGTTACCGCGCCCTGTACCCCGCACCTCGTCCCGCACGTCCCATAGTGACGCGCAATAATTATTTTCTGCGGTACAGTGTTGCCGTCGTTTCGTTACTAGGTTACTAATATTGAAGAAGAATCAAGATTTAAGTTATGAATACAGATTCATAGAACTTGAGAAACTAGAATATACAGTAAATAATATTTTCACCACGTCTGACAAATAATAAGGGTAGTTTTAGAAATTGATGTGTAATATTAATTAATTAGTTCGATGATATAATAATAATGAGTTATAAAAATAAACTAGAAACCGGTTTTGTGTAAAGTGACCTAGGTTAGCTTCTATCTTCATGGTAGAAACCTCACTTACATGAAGGCGGGATCAGATGTTGTGACGTCACACGGGCTTTTAGGCCGCCCCGCGGTAGTCGTTTATAAAACGTGTAATATCATCACAACATAATGAATGGACCGATTTCAATGATTCAAAAAGTATGTTGCTCGTATGAGTGTAAGGAACAACATTATATAGGTTTTGAATGGATTTTCTGACTTGTGCCTGATCCTCTTTCACGTACCTTTTTAACATGACATGCGTATTGGAATCCAAATTTCATATTATTTGAACTTAAAAAATAACGAGTGAATAGAAGGGGCATTAGGTAATTTTAAAATAAAAAAATACTCATGTACATGGTTAAACCCAATATACACATTTTCAGCAATGGTATATTTATTTTGGGAATTCAGTAGCGGCAACACTGCATCGGCGCAGTCGGATACTTGCTCTAAGCGTTGGTGTTTGTCTGTGCGGGATTTTTGTTATTAATTAGTTGTTTTTCGTTATCTTGTTACTTTTTGTTATTATTTGTTTTGAGTTTACTTTATCGTTAATTGCTACTGCGTTGTGTGTATTTAGCAACCAAAACAAAAAAGCTTCACGGCGGCAGCGGCGGCCGACGTCTCGGGTACTAGTGAGGAGAACACCATACTAGTTACGAAGCTAGAACATATTATTATACTGGTGATAATATTCTTAATATCTCACAATGGGTAAAAAAAGAACAATCCGTGGGTCAGAAAGGACCATCATATTAAGAATATTTCATTTTTTTGAGGAAGAAAAGTTAAGAGGAATCACTATTCCAATAACAGCAGTAGACAAACGAGTGTGTGCTGCTACTGGTGTAAGTCGACGCACACTGACCAGAATTAAACGTGAAGAGGAAAACGAGATTGCCAAACGAAGAAGACTTGAAGTTGAAAGTCAACCGCAACCGTGTACTTCAAGCGAAGCCCCAACAGAGTCAGTAAAACTGTCTACTCCAGGAAAAAAGCGAATACAAAAGAAAAAGTTGGAGATTGATGACTTCATGATTTGTGCTATCAAAACCAAAATTGAATCACTTTTATACCGTTCACAAAGAAGTGCCAACATTGAAAAAACTATTAGTGGCTGTCAAAAGAGACCTTAATTTTCCTGGTCAACGGGAGACTCTACGAAAAATTTTGACTGAACAGTTAGGCTTCCGATTTAAGAAATGTGCCAGTAAGCGAGATGTATTAATCGAAAGACCAGAAATAGCAGCGTGGCGTGCTCGCTATTTACGGCGGTTAAAAGAAAACGCTAGTGCAGGCCAGCGCTGGAGAGTAGTTCACGCAGGTATGAACAACTTTCCTTGTTTTTCTTTCGTTTTTAGTACCTATTGTTTTCTTACTTTTCTTAGTACTGATTATCACCTATCACTTTTCGATTGCGATAAAGATAAAAAATATTCCTGAGGTGTGAGCTATTATTGACTTTATATTAAACAATAATCTCTCAGCAGGAATACTGTTTATCTAATCGTCGTGTCAGCCGCAAGACGTCCACTGCTGGACATAGGCCTCCCCCAAAGATTAACGGTCCTGCGTAGCCCGCATCCAGCAGTTTATCTAATATAATATTATAAATGTCAACGTCAATTTGATTGTTTTTGTGTCCTGCTATCACTACAAAGACATTGCATAATATTATGACACATACATCAACAGACATAGCAGAGGCAATATAATGTGAAATAAGTTGTAATTTTTTATTTCAGGAGGAGAGATTGGGTTTGTCGAAGGTGCACATTTGTTATATAAATGCAAAAGCTCAAAAGGAGATTATCATGATGAGATGGACAGCAATAACTACATAAAATGGTTAAGTGAAAAATTGATCCCAAATTTGCCACCCAACAGCATTGTAGTTATTGACAATGCTCCATATCATAACAAACAATTAAATAAGCCTCCCTCAATGGCGTCTCGCAAGGAAGAAATGCAAAACTGGTTGACTTCAAAAAATATTGCGTTCGATGCCCGCATGACAAAGCCAGAGTTGTATTACTTGATAATTCGAAACAGGCCAGAAAAAGAATATTTAGTAGACAAACTTTTGAGGGAAAGCGGCCACGAAGTTCTCAGACTGCCGCCGTACCAGTGTGATCTAAACCCTATTGAGTATATTTGGAACATAATGAAACAAAGGATCGCCGACAAAAATGTGGAACAGTCAGAAAGGCTTATCGAATCTTTAACCAGGGAGGCCATAGAGTCAATTACGCAAACTGATTGGAAAAAGCAAATTAACCATGTAGACCGGTTACGGCAGAAGTACTGGGAGAAACAAGGACTACAAGACGCCAGAGAACTAATAATAAATATAACGATGGCGACAGTGATGATGATACATCAGATTTTGAAAGAATTTCGGGGATTGAAGAATTGGAGTCAGATACTGATTCAGAATAAGTACTGTCACGCATCAGCTGGGCGCTTCGAGAGCACTTTTATAACCTTGACCCGTTATCTGTAGTCACTTTTCTGTCGTTTATTAAATTCATTAAAATTATTAATAATAAACATAAATTGTGTGTCTAATAAGTACCTCCGATCTAAAAAATCCTAAAATCAATTTACCTAATAGGCATTGCTGACCTAATTTCAGAATTTTCTTTCCCCAAAATTTCTGAAATTCTAAATACCATAAGTATCGTAATGACTGAAAATAACCATTCACTTATTTTCGTTTTAGTGGTCGATACATAACACTATGATGCAGTTAAATTCACAAACGTAGCTATTGTAATTAATTAAAATAAATAACTACGAGTAGTATATACTAGTACTCATACTATGTATCACCTGGTATTATACAGATGAAAGTGTTCCCCTCACTAGTCCTCAAGCCGCCATGTTCAGAATGCGCCTAATTGTTTTGGTAGCGTAGTAGATATTTTAGATATTTATTATCCGTCACATTACTTTTTTATTATTGTATATATAATATGTAATTTGTCAAATGTCAAGGTCACTATTTTTTAAAAAGATACCGACTACCCCCACCACACTAGGGTTTTCTACTGTACGTTTTAAAAACATAAAAGATGAAAAAAAAAAACTGGTAAAGATGATTATAATTAATAATTATTGAAAGTCACTCCAATGTTTAATATACGCGAACAGCAGGTAGCGCGGGTGGAAGTGAGTTGGTGAGGTATATTAACTTGTAGACCATGCCGTGTGAGACGACGATGTACCGATCGTCGCCGACTGACACGAACAACGGGTAGTTTGGGTGGAAGTGAGGTGATGAGGTATACTAACTTATAGACCATGCCGTGCGAGACGACGATGTACCCGATCGTCGCCGGCGGACACGAACAGTGGGTAGTTGGGTGGAAGTGAGGTGGTGAGGTATACTAACTTGTAGACCATGCCGTGCGAGACGACGATGTACCGATCGTCGCCGACTGACACGAACAACGGGTAGTTTGGGTGGAAGTGAGGTGGTGAGGTATACTAACTTATAGACCATGCCGTGCGAGACGACGATGTACCGATCGTCGCCGGCGGACACGAACAGTGGGTAGTTTGGGTGGAAGTGAGGTAGTGAGGTATACTAACTTGTAGACCATGCCGTGCGAGACGACGATGTACCGATCGTCGCCGGCGGACACGAACAGCGGGTAGTTTGGGTGGAAATGTGGTGGTGAGGTATACTAACTTGTAGACCATGACGTGCGAGACGACGATGTATCGATCGTCGCCGGCGGACACGAACAGTGGGTAGTTTGGGTGGAAAAGTGGTGGTGAGGTGTACTAACTTGTAGACCATGCCGTGCGAGACGACGATGTACCGATCGTCGCCGGCGGATACGAACAGCGGGTAGTTTGGGTGGAAATGTGGTGGTGAGGTGTACTAACTTGTAGACCATGCCGTGCGAGACGACGATGTACCGATCGTCGCCGACTGACACGAACAGCGGGTAGTTTGGGTGGAAGTGAGATGGTGAGGTATACTAACTTGTAGACCATGCCGTGCGAGACGACGATGTACCGATCGTCGCCGGCGGACACGAACAGCGGGTAAATTGGGTGGAAATGTGGTGGTGAGGTATACCAACTTGTAGACCATGCCGTGCGAGACGACGATGTACCGATCGTCGCCGGCGGACACGAACAGCGGGTAGTTTGGGTGGAAATGTGGTGGTGAGGTATACTAACTTGTAGACCATGCCGTGCGAGACGACGATGTACCGATCGTCGCCGGCGGACACGAACAGCGGGTAGTTTGGGTGGAAATGTGGTGGTGAGGTATACTAACTTGTAGACCATGCCGTGCGAGACGACGATGTATCGATCGTCGCCGGCGGACACGAACAGTGGGTAGTTTGGGTGGAAATGTGGTGGTGAGGTATACTAACTTGTAGACCATGCCGTGCGAGACGACGATGTACCGATCGTCGCCGGCGGACACGAACAGCGGGTAGTTTGGGTGGAAATGTGGTGGTGAGGTGTACTAACTTGTAGACCATGCCGTGCGAGACGACGATGTACCGATCGTCGCCGGCGGACACGAACAGCGGGTAGTTTGGGTGGAAAAGTGGTGGTGAGGTATACTAACTTGTAGACCATGCCGTGCGAGACGACGATGTACCGATCGTCGCCGGCGGACACGAACAGCGGGTAGTTTGGGTGGAAAAGTGGTGGTGAGGTATACCAACTTGTAGACTATGCCGTGCGAGACGACGATGTACCGATCGTCGCCGGCGGATACGAACAGCGGGTAGTTTGGGTGGAAATGTGGTGGTGAGGTATACCAACTTGTAGACCATGCCGTGCGAGACGACGATGTATCGATCGTCGCCGGCGGACACGAACAGCGGGTAGTTTGGGTGGAAATGTGGTGGTGAGGTATACTAACTTGTAGACCATGCCGTGCGAGACGACGATGTACCGATCGTCGCCGGCGGACACGAACAGCGGGTAGTTTGGGTGGAAGTGAGGTAGTGAGGTATACTAACTTGTAGACCATGCCGTGCGAGACGACGATGTATCGATCGTCGCCGGCTGACACGAACAGCGGGCAGTTTGGGTGGAAGTGAGGTAGTGAGGTATACTAAGTTGTAGACCATGCTGCGCGAGACGACGATGTACCGATCGTCGCCGGCGGACACGAACAGCGGGTAGTTTGGGTGGAAGTGAGGTGGTGAGGTATACTAACTTGTAGACCATGCCGTGCGAGACGACGATGTACCGATCGTCGCCGGCGGACACGAACAGCGGGTAGTTTGGGTGGAAGTGAGGTGATGAGGTATACTAACTTGTAGACCATGCCGTGCGAGACGACGATGTACCGTTCGTCGCCGGTGGACACGACCAGTGGGTAGTTTGGGTGGAAGTGAGGTGGTGAGGTATACCAACTTGTAGACCATGCCGTGCGAGACGACGATGTACCGATCGTCGCCGGCGGACACGAACAGCGGATAGTTTGGGTGGAAATGTGGTGGTGAGGTATACTAACTTGTAGACTATGCCGTGCGAGACGACGATGTACCGATCATCGCCGGCGGACACGAACAGTGGGTAGTTTGGGTGGAAATGTGGTGGTGAGGTATACTAACTTGTAGACCATGCCGTGCGAGACGACGATGTATCGATCGTCGCCGGCGGACACGAACAGCGGGTAGTTTGGGTGGAAATGTGGTGGTGAGGTATACTAACTTGTAGACTATGCCGTGCGAGACGACGATGTACCGATCGTCGCCGGCGGACACGAACAGTGGGTAGTTTGGGTGGAAATGTGGTGGTGAGGTATACTAACTTGTAGACCATGCCGTGCGAGACGACGATGTATCGATCGTCGCCGGCGGACACGAACAGCGGGTAGTTTGGGTGGAAGTGAGGTGGTGAGGTATACCAACTTGTAGACCATGCCGTGCGAGACGACGATGTACCGATCGTCGCCGGCGGACACGAACAGCGGGTAGTTTGGGTGGAAATGTGGTGGTGAGGTATACTAACTTGTAGACCATGCCGTGCGAGACGACGATGTACCGATCGTCGCCGGCGGACACGAACAGCGGGTAGTTTGGGTGGAAATGTGGTGGTGAGGTATACCAACTTGTAGACCATGCCGTGCGAGACGACGATGTACCAACCGTCGCCGGCGGACACGAACAGCGGGTAGTTTGGGTGGAAATGTGGTGGTGAGGTATACTAACTTGTAGACCATGCCGTGCGAGACGACGATGTACCGATCGTCGCCGGCGGACACGAACAGCGGGTAGTTTGGGTGGAAAAGTGGTGGTGAGGTATACTAACTTGTAGACCATGCCGTGCGAGACGACGATGTACCGACCGTCGCCGGCGGACACGAACAGCGGGTAGTTTGGGTGGAAATGTGGTGGTGAGGTGTACTAACTTGTAGACCATGCCGTGCGAGACGACGATGTACCGATCGTCGCCGGCGGACGCGAACAGTGGGTAGCGCGGGTGGAAGGCGACGGCGCGCACGGCGCCACCGTGCAGGCGCAGCGTCTGGTACGGCTTCGACGACAGCTCCAGGTCGAACCTGCGCACACACACACCCGCTCTATATACACGCAGTCGCATAAGTCCAAGTCGTATCGGTTCGATAAAATATCTGCTGCCAGTAGATACAATAAGGAAATTGTGCGAGAAAGAAAATTTCTTCTAAATCACAAAGTGTTATAAAGGGATACAATTTTTTCTCTTGAATACGTAATTCATAACTCATAAATCGGGTGTTTGTGAAACGGTCCCAAAACGAAGACAGACGATAGTACTAACGATACCTTTGATGATGGGACAAAAAATCGACCCAATGAAAAAAACATTTTTTACAACGTTTAATCAGCTTTATTCACGCTTTATCATGTTAGTACAGCTAAATGAAACGACAATTTCATTAAACAAAAATCATGAAAATACTTAGACATAAAACTAGCAGTGAAACTTCAAACACCTAAAATCAGCTGGTAAGGGTCAATATAAGCGCGACGTCAAATTCGCGCGCCCCGCAGCCCGCGATCGTAACAAATCCTAATAATTTACAACACGTTTAAATACATAACTTATCTACTTAACCTACTATTTTGCCACTGTGCTAGTCTCCACCTAGTCACTTTAATTCGAATTCACAGGTTAAATAAACCAAATACCTGGTTCGATTCCCCGCTAATGAATAATTTACTTAAATGAAATTTCAAAAGGATAGTTATGCTTTTTTATCAATTGTGTAGGTATGTTCATTATTCTGATGTATTCGGTTATGTTCCTATTCAAATCAGTTCAGGACTAAGTTATTAAAACAAATTCGGTATGAAACAGCTTACCGATCTAAATTTCCCGCGGCCTTTTGAGATGCGGCTCAAATTGTGCTGGTCTAATAACCAACGGCAGAAAAAGTGTTCTTGATCGCCAGGAACGAAAGTTTGCACTTTGAGCACTTTTTATGGGCGTATTCGGTTACGCTTTAACACCTAGTGAACTACCCAGTATGACACACTTCTTCCACGCCGACGCCTTCACAACTTAGCGATACTTCGCGCTCCTCGGAGTGAACAGCCACTTGACCGTCACCTCCTGCCACCAGCGGAGCAATGGGCCGATGTTCCAACACTCGCTGAAATGCTGTTGTTATCAGAGTCAGCGGTCGAGATTTTCTCGCTTTAAATACGTAATGCACACGAAGCATTCCCCCGAGCTTCTCCAAGGTACATTAATATGTTGCACTATAAACGTAGGCGTAAGGCATTATTAAAACAAAACAAGAAACATAAAACGTAACAACAAGAATAATAACAACAAGTCAATAACAAGTAATAACAACAAGAATTTAAAAAACAACTGAATTGTCACTCACGCGCAAATCAACACGGAACTGTCTCAATAATTAAAATTAATGATCAATCCCGCCAAAACAAATGCCTACTGCTAAGTTCATGCGTTCTTGCAGTAAGGCACTTTGATCATTTCTACAGATCGTTAAACCGTTAAGACATGCCCAACTTTTAAAAGTTCAGTTATTCTTACGACAAGTCTTCATATGGAATTTGAAAGTTATATTTGTCATTTTTAATACATTTAGACAAACAATTTCGTTACTACAAAAATGATATTGAAATTAATAAACGTACCTAATTGGGTACCTACTCACTTACACATTTATAAACACTATTTCATCGTTATCTTTGATTTTATACAAGAAAATTAGAAATGAAATGGTACTGAATAATTTAATAGTTAAAATTAATTGCAATTATGAGCGATAGTTAATTCATCTATCAGAATTAATGTAAAAAATAATTCTTTTACTTTATTTTAATTAACTTTCTGTTTTTAATCCGTTCATTAATTTGAATTTAAAAAGAGGTACGACAAGACTATTAAAAATTACTTATTGTGATTGCTGCCGTTAATACTTATGTCGCATGCAAATCTTAGTAGGTGAATTTCGGTGCAACGTGTGCAACGTTGCCAACACTAATTTGTCAAATTTCCCGAAAAACCACGTCAAATTCCCCAATTTCGGAATAAAACTTCAACAGATTATCCACAAATTCTCAACTTTATTTTAAGTAATGAAACAATTTTCAACTAATTTTATAATATTTATTTTGACTAACATTTTTTTTATCGAATATTTTTTACACTCCATATTTTTGTAACAAGCATTTTACTCCATGAAGTATTTCTAATTCATTCCCTAGTTGCCATTAAAAAGGATCACACTATCTGCATTTACTCACACTTACATTACTCTAAATCCGAAAATTAAATGTTATAATTAAAAAAGTAAGTTATTCGATATTCAAAAGTAACCTAAAAAATGTTAAGTATTTAGATTTCTTGAAAAAAGGCTCTGATTTGGCCGGGGCTATCGATTTTCAAAATCCCAGCATTTTGAACGCATAATACCAATCCCCAAAAATACCCAACCACTTTTAAATTCCCCACATGTTGGGAACGATGAACATGTGTAAATTGCACAGGGCGAGGCGACACGAGTCGGCCGGGCAGCGGCAGCGTGTGTTGAAAGGGAAGGTGAGCGAAATACAGTAATACCTAATGCATTGTTTTATACCGAGCTAGATAAAAGAGTTCAGCGTCCAAGCGTTTATTGACTCTACAGTCGGCTGGTTCCATTTTAATTTTTATTGCTGGTTTTATGTTTCAGTACTGTCATGATATTTTTAATGAAATTATCGTTTCTTTTCACTGTACTAACATGATGGAGCGTGAATTAAGCAAATAAAACGTTGTGAAAAAATGATTTTCTTTTCATCGGGATCGGTTTTCTTTATGTCCCATTATCAAAGGTATCGTTAGTACTATCGTCTGCCTTCGTTTTAAGTATTAGTTATGGTATTTTATTTTTATAATATTTCAGTAAGCAGTAACCCATAAAATGTTCTTAGTATTAAGATTAAGAATCACAAATATCTTGACGATGCTGTTATATTATACTTAAATACAAACTATAAGCTTAATACCAAAAAGTGAATACTGGAACAGTATTAATAATATACAGGGTTATTTTGCAATGCATGCCCAAATTTGCATAGAAGGCTCAGACAAGCAGTATAGGCAAATGGTAAAAAAATTTCTAACATTTTATCCTTTGAACTTTTTCATGAGGCGTGCATTATTTTAATTAATTGTTATTCATAAACGTCTAACGACTGCTATTTTGCTACGCACGCACAATGTCGTAAGGGTCGCTAGGTAACAAATTTAGGTACCTTGTCGCGCGTGTTCACGAGCACATCCGCCCGGCCGTACGAGTGTGCTATTTTTAAATTTTCGTAGGTAGTGTTGCTTCGTTACCAATAACGAAATAAAATATTCGAACCGCGAATATTATGAAATGGTGCGGTTTTAGATTTTAAGCAATGAAAGTTTACATGCTGCGCAAATATTGCACGAAGGTCTTTACCACGGCAAGAAATTAACGTACCAATCAAAGAACAGTTGACAATTAATCAAATTAGTTGAAATGCAATGAGTGATAATTTAAATAGTGAATATGAAGATAGGTAACTTGCGCATCGAGACCTTATACTATGGCTCGCAAATTTGCCGGACCTTTAATTTATCTCTGGGTCGAAATAGAGACATGTTTACTTTAAAATGATCCAAAGTTATAAAGTTATAAAGACCGCCGCAGCAAATGTATTGCTGCACTCACGATAGTTAACAGCGCTGAAAAACAGGTAATAACCGTAAAAAATAATTTAAGAAAACGTCTATGCATGGAGAGAAACGGATTCCATTTTGAGGTACCAATATTAGTTATTCGAACTACTAGCATAATACAGTTGTAAATAGTTTTTATTATTTTTAAATACTCCATAACAATTTATGACAGTTATCGGCTACCTTGTTGATAAGCAAACATTTTTTAAATTTAATTTATTATGACAATCCTCAGCTTGTCAATATTGTGAAGGGAGAATTGGAATCATAATTCGCATCGTCTTGTTATTAATTTAAATATTAGTTGTGAGCGTGTCGTTAAGAAAGTATACAGTAGGCAAACATTTTGTGAATTATATCGCACACAGAGGAGCGCGAGTACGCCGTACTGTTGTTCATAAATCACATTCAACTTGGGATAATTTCAAATAAAAGTAAAAGCCTTATTTACTCGTATTTTCAAAGACTGCAAAAACGATATATCATTGTTTATATACTTGAACTTAAATATAAAATTTAGATACTCTTTGAAAAGTAACCAAAAAAAAAGTAAAGTGACGATAAAGTTATCACGTTAAATGAAAAGACGTATCCTACATAACATTCTTTAAACATACATGACTAAAAAATTGTAACAATTAACGACCTAGTCCCAGTAGCCTTTTTTTCGATTTAATATTAAACAACATCATGTAAATGCATAGATTTATCACCTGGAGAGTACTAGAACACAAACAAACACAAAGAACCACGGCCGACAAAGGCAAAGATACCTAGTTCAAACGTTGTCATTCCGAATTACTCAAATAAAGAAAAAATAATGCATAAAATATACTTAAGACTAACGATTTAAGGCATAATAATTGTTATGCGCGAAATTAAAAACAAAGAGGCCGAGGGAGCGAATGTGAATACAAATTCAAGCGAAAAATTAATTTCTAACAGACGACCAAAGGCATAATTCTCTATGCACTAAATGATAAGAAATCGGACGGGGTGGTGCACACTGGATCGAAAATCACGTTTCGAAGACGTAGACCTTTAAAATTTTAAGTGTCGATTTTGAGCTTGAAATGGCTTCTGTTTATTATTACTATGGTCAAAAATGTCACACGAGGTAATTTGGCTTAAAAACTGAGGACTTATGATTTTTTTACGAAAAAATGAAATAAATGTATGGAGCAAATACGAAAAATCAATATAACCCTGGAATCGCACAATTTCGCAGGAGCCTCCTTCTTCCTTATAAGGAATTATAGTACTAATTATTTATGATTTTTGACATACTTCATACATTCCATTTTTATTATTTTACAAACTTGTTTTAATGCAAAAAGATAACTGATATGGGTT